CTCAAAACCCAAAACCCTAAACCCCTAAACCCCTAAACCCCAAAACCCCTAAACCCTAAACCCTAAACCCCAAAACCCCTAAACCCTAAACCCCAAACCCTAAACCCTAAACCCTTGAAGCACTCAGTGGGGAGGCTCCCCACCTGCTCCAGCGACTCTGTGCAGTCGGTTCCATCACCATCGCCGCGGAAGACTCCCCCCGCAACCTCCAGTGTATTATTTAGGGTTTAGGGTCTATTCTTGGCGGGTTTTAAAGGTTTAGGGTTGGGGGGCTTAAGGTTTAGGCCCTAGTCTTGGGGGGTTTGGGATTTAGGGTTTAGGGTCTAGTCTTGGGGGGTTTAGGATTTAGGGTTTAGGGTCTAGTCTTGCGGGATTTAGGATTTAGGGTTTTAGGGTCTATTCTTGGGGGGTTTAGGGTTTAGGGTCTATTTCGGGGGGGCACGCTGCACAGGTTTGCAGGCATTTGATGTCGCCCTCCGAAGGTTAACATCCCTCCTTTAGAAGCCTCGTGCACTTGATCATCATACATTCAGATAAACCCCTTGATGATGTGACATGGTTAAGCCCGCGGAAATGTTTCATCCGAGACAACGGAAGCAGAACCCCTAATGCAGGAGCCTTAATAATTAGAATCGGGCTACTGTAGTTATAATAAGGGGCCCCAAGAATAGTATAGTTAATTATTTAGGCCCCTATATCAAGCCCGATGCCGCAGACATGAAAATATATCTGTCACGGGTTCCTGAGCTTGTCCGGCACAGCAGGACTGCCACCACCACAGCCATCATCACCCCAGGTAACGACGGATCCATGGCCGAGAATCGCAGTAAAAACCTGTACAGTGGCTTAGATCTGGTGCACAGTCTTCTGCTGATCCTGCCACTGTCACCACCGCTGTGACATGGCCCCAGGTCACGATCGAACCATCGCCAAGAATGGCAGCAAACACGGAATCAGAGGTCTTCAGTCTTCAGCTGATCCTGCAAAGCACGACTGTTACCACCACCGCGTGCCCTTGACCCAGGTCACGACGGAGCCATCGGAAAGAATGGCAGCAAAAGCGCTGTGAGAGAACGCTTTGGATGCTGTGCATTCTTTGGCTAGACCTGAACACCTCCAGTCCACCGTCTCTGCGAGAGTCGGTCACCCCATGCCACCGGACATCGCTCGCCAGCAACGGCAACAAGAACAACTGAACTGTCTTGGATCTGCTATACACTCCGTAGCTGGTCCTGCACAGCACTACTGTCCCCGCCAAAGACAGAAGAACCCCAGGTCACAACTGATCCATCGCCAGCAATCGCAGCGAAAGCATTCCGGCTTGCCTGGATTTGCTGCACATCCTTCAGCTGATCCTGCACGGCACTACTGTCACCGCCTCTGCCAGCATCACCCCAGGTCACGACAGAGCCATCACCAAGAATGGCAGCAAATGCGCCCGAAGACGCTTGAATCTGCTGCACATTCTGCAACTGGTCCTGCACGGCGCCACATTTACTCCAATAGGCGTCCCAGGTCACGACCGATCCATCGCCACGAATAGCAGCAAAAGCGGAATGAGAGGCTTGGATCTGCTGCACATTCTTCAGCTGGTCGTGCACAGCACGACTGCTACCACCACCGCCGGTATTGCCCCAGGTCACGACCGATCTATCTCCAAGAATGGCAGCAAAAGCGGATTTGGAGGCTTGGATCTGCTGCACATTTTTTAGCTGATCCTGCACAGCAGTACTGTCACCCCCCCAGTCAGCATGACCCCAGGTTACGACCGATCCATCGCCAAGAATGGCAGCAAACGCGCGCCCTGCGTGAATCTGCTGCACATTGATTAGCTGCGCCTGTACAGCACCACTGTCACCACCATGGTGAGCACAACCCCAGGTCACCACAGATCCGTCGCCAAGAATGCCAGCAAAAGCCTCTATGGAGGCTCGAATGCACTGCACATTTTTCAGCTGATCACGCCACTACTGGCGCCACCAAACCCCGGGTGACCCCACGTGACGACACATCCATTGTCAAGAATTGCAGCGAAAGCTCTTTCAGAGGCCTGGATCTGCGTCACATTCTTGAGCTGGTCCTCTACAGCAGAACTGTCAGCACCATAGCCTGCAGCACCCCAGGTCACGACCGATCCATCGCCAAGAATAGCCGCAAAAGCATGCTCACTTGCTTGGATCTGCTGCACATTCTTCAGCTGGTCCTGCTGAGCACTACTGTCACCACCATCACGGGGACTACCCCAGGTTACGACCGATCCGTCGCCAAGAATGGCGGCAAAAGCCTTCTTAGATGCTTGGATCTGCTGCACGTTCTTCAGCTGATCCTGTGCAGCACTGCTCCTACCACCATACTCAGCACTACCCCAGGTCACGACGGATCCGTCGCCAAGAATGACTGACAAAGCGCCAACATTGGATTGGATTTGAAGTCTGCCTGCATGTAAGGTGAGCGAATCACCGTTCTTAAGCTTGGAAGCGCGATTGGTAAGCATGCATCTAGGACATTTCCCGACGAGTCTAGCAGCCGCCCTCTGCCGACACCAAGTTCGGCCTGCGCCCGACGTGTCAGCGTTCGCACCTCTTCATCCAAGTCGGCCTTCACGATCGCTGTCTTGCCACTGAGCAGCCCAACTTCAAAAGCCACCGACATCTGCTATGCCGGAAGGAAGGAGGAAAATTCCTGGAGCCTCAGAAAACAAGGGGGCCCTTTCTTACAAAAGTTATAGAAGACAGCCCGAGACTCTATCCTATTTGGCAAGGCCAATTTATTGCCCTTCTTAGAACCGGATTGCGCTTCTGTTGCCGATGCAAGGCTGCCTGACCGTTGCTACGAAGACGACTCTGCGGCTTTGCACTAGGGTTTAGGGTTTGGCGTATCTTCCATCACCAAGAGGTATAGGCGTCGCGACAAGACTGGTAGAGACAACAGATAGACGCATTGCCAATCTTCTTGAAAGACAAGCAAACAGCTGAGGGAAGGACATGCAGGCAAGATTCATGCATGAAGGACACCTTACCTAGGTTGCCGCCGATTCAATCGCTGCCTCCAAGGTTGTCGCCGCAGCTCAGATTCTGTGACTACCACCACAAATCCCAAACACTGTGAATCAGCGCCCCCTTCCCAAGTCATGCGACCAATCCCAAATCCTAACCATTAGAGTAGGATATACTATAATCTGTTAATACATGGCCTGTAAGCAAATTACTATCAATCATTGTTCAGACCCCTGTAGACGCCGGATCCAAGGCCCTATGCCAGATAAACGCCAGGGCCGTTAGGGTTTGGGGTGTGGGCTTCAGGGTTTGGCCGAAGAGACACCCACCGGCCTTCATCAGAAGACCTGCATACACCCACCGAAACCCTGGTAAAATCCTAAACCATGCACCCTTTTGTGCAGGGACTGCAATGCACTAAGCCTCCGAATCCCGAACCTTAAACCCTAACCCAGATATAACTCTCGAAGCGGAGCTCAAACAGGAAGTTGGCGCACATGATGGCATAGTTATATAGGTAAGGGTATAGCACTGCTGCTGCTGCTGCTGCTGCTGCTGCTGCTGCTGCTGCTGCTGCTGCTGCTGCTGCTGCTGCCACTACTCCTGCTACTGCCACGACTACGACTACTACTACTACTACTACTACTACTACTACTACTACGACTACGACTGCTACTGCTACTGCT